CCCCAAAACCCCAAAACCCCAAAACCCCAAAACCCCATATAAAATAAAATTCTTGTAAATTGGAAATTATAATTTTCAATAGACTTATAAATGAAAGATGATTTGAGATTAGTGGGTATAATATCAGAAAGAGATATAGATGGAAGGCTATAGTAAAAGGAATTGAGGAAAATTATATTTGACTTTTTGCAGCTTGGTCCTATGTATCAGCCCCTCATTGATATACTTTAAAAGAAGGGAAAGATAGTCACGAGTGAGACTGGAGAAGTGCTAGTAGAAATTAAAGACGTTTTTTAAACTCTACACTCAACTGAATTCCTGAACATCACTCCTCTTTTTCTAAACCATAGAGAGACCTATGCCAATATAAAACTTATAATAACATCAGTGATAATAACAAGAAGAGCTTATTTATCAGGAGATGAAATAAGGCAAGGTATTATCGCTTATACTCTGATTTCACGCGAGTGTAAATCTGAATGGCTTCCTATGTACGTCGAAAAAATAATCAAAACATTCAGAATGGTAAATAAAACAGTCAGTGAAGTGGTGTTGAAAAAGTGGTTTGAGCATGTCCGCAGCAATCTTGAATGTAACATGGAATCTAGGATATAGGTAGAAAAGGAGATTAAGCAAAAGAAGCTAGATGTTCCATTTCTGCTTCCTCATGAATTTCTATTCCTGCTGTGTAACTGTTCTAATAGGTTAGAAACCATTAGCAGATTACATAATCCCGAATTGGTCTCTGTAAAAGGCAATATCTATTAATGGGAGCTATCTAACCCACTTAATTAGGGCACTTTTCATTAATCACATATTCATCTATTGCCCTAGACAGCTTTCACTAACTAGGCTCCTCATATTATAATCACTAACACACTAAATAAGGAAGCAGAGGAGAAGAATATTAGAGTTATGGGAATGAAGCCTTAGTAAAGTTAAAACCAAATCTCTGTTATTAATTCTCAGAGTAATGAGTAGAATAAAAGCCCGAGCAAGAGTAAATTATTATAGGTCAAAGCAGCACACGGATCTTCAGGCTTTGCACAATAGCTTGATGAAATGAAGACTGATCTTAAAAACATGAAGCATAGTGCTGTAGCTGTACTTGGTAATGCCAAAAAGTTCTTGCAAAGATTCTAGAGTCCTTACCTAGAAATTATTTAAAATGCAAGTTAGGGAACTATCGACAGAATAAATTCTCCACTAAAAAATAAGGATAATGTTTTCTTAACATAACCAGCATTATCTTAAGATTTAAGAGATTCACCAGAAAAGAGGAAGAGACCTTAAACAGCAAAGATTCCTCTTTCCAATAGATAAATATAGGAACGCAATAGAACTTTTATGCATGTATCAAAGATTAATCTTAAGAGAGCGCAAGCACTTAAGCAGTAAGAGATAGCCTCATCAGTATATCGACCACCTGATAAGAACACAATGAGGTCTTAATTCAGCGAGATTTTCAGTGAGAAAGATCAGTTTAAGGAGTGCCAAGTTATGGGTAGAAATCTAGCTTCTCTGAATGTTAGTAAAAGCAGAGAAAGTCTGAATATACAAAAGAAAGCGACCGAAAGAATAAAGAACTGGATGTTTGATGAGCTTAATAAATATGAAGAGGCCTAAACAGAGAAAAGTAAGGCCATGGCGACAACAGCTATAGATGGTAATAGTGAAGCATGCGGAGTTGGAGTAGGAAGCTCTAAAAAGTTTGAAAAAATGCTAGATTATGTACAAAACTTCTCTAAATAAGTCTCGTATTCAAGTATGCCCAAAAGAAGACCTATTAGCAGTTATTCATATAGGACAACATTATCTCAAGCCTAGACTTATAAAAAACTTAATATGCATTGATAAAATATATTACTTTATATTTTTTCTCAAGTAATTATAAAGTACTATATAAATTTCAAATCTAAATATATTCTAATTTATATATAGGGGTTTTGGGGTTTTGGGGTTTTGGGG